TATATAAATAATAATATTTATATTATTAATTATTATCTTTTATATGAAAAAATTATTTTAAAAAATTTATTTTCTCTTTTTTTATTCAAAAACAACTAAACCCCAAAAATTTGACAAAATCAATTTTTTTTATCGACTTTTTCGAATTAAAAACAATCAAATAATTGAAATTTGTTATTAAAAATGTTATTTGTTTTTTTTTGTGAACTATAAAAATACCATAAATTTTTTATTTATTAATAATACAAAAACTTCTTGCAATAATTATTTAAACTATAAAACATAGATAAACTGTATTATATATTCTAAATTTATTTTAACTGGTTTTGTTCATCAATTTTCATTGTTTTGAAGTCACTCTATGCATTAAAAATCGATCGAATAATTATATTATAACTCTATAATTCACACATAATTCCATATGGTCAGTCTTGAGAAAGTGTTTATTGCCAATGTAGTGATGTATATTGATACCATAGAGACTGCTCTTCTATTGATACAAGTGAACAAGAAGTGCAAAGATGCTTTAGAGATCTTACATATCAATCCTGGTTTTGCCAACAAACTGTCACTCAATCAAAAACTTAAAGAAGACGACTTATTTGAGTATTTTCGAGTTCTTTCCAAAGAAATTTCGTTGTTTCCACATATTCAGACTTTTGTCCTTCAACAGCGCCAAAACGTCTTTCTGGGGTGTTTGCCGTACTTACCAAAAGAGTCTCAACTCGTGATGAAATTAGCGGGCTATGTTTCATTAGAAGAAATTTTAAGTGAAAATTACTTAATGAGAATAGTCGAGGTCGACCTCATGTTTCACTCCGACTTACAATTAACAGTTCTCATCAACTTAAAGAAGGTCAGACTCACTACACTCAGTTCGTCCAGAAATGTTATACAATGCTTCGGGAATGATCAGGTACTGAACTACGCTCGCGTCTATTTTAACAACACCGTGGAACAGTCATTCATCGACGGCTTCACTCAGTTGCCCATTTCAAACAGAGTCGTCGTCACCCTCGACGCTTCAGAGTTCTGTAAACTAAAAGAAAATAGTTCATTTACTAATAAAGTTACTATATGCATTCGATGTTATGATGATGTCAAAGCAGCCGTACCTGTGGTCGATTTGTTAAACCGCAAATTTATAAAGACGTTTGAGACTAAAGTGGAGGACTTGAGGTTGAGCATTCCGTCTTCTATCATTATACAAAAGGACAGTAATGACCAAAAAGTGCTTGATCTGAGAACTGAAAAATACGTGGAAAGTGTTGATGTACTTGCGAATAATATTGTACTACTGCCACAGACTTTAACGAAACTTGGAATCTCAAATGCTATAAATAAACGGCCTGAATATAATCAATTACTCAATTCTGTGACGCAGTTTGAAAGATTGAGGGAATTGGAGATTGAAAATTATGATTTTTGCTCTGACTTGCCAAGCCAGTTAAGTTTTTTGTGTTTAAAAAAGTCAAAAAATACATCACCCAATTTATTACAACTCAAAAATTTGGTACTCGAAGATTTATCGACAATACAATTAGAAAAGTGTGTGAATTTAACAGCGCTGTACATCTCGTACGCTCCGATAAACTTTCGTAAGTCATG